AGATTAGGAACTCAGAGGAGGCAGAAAAGGCTGAGAGAGTGGGTGGAGTCCTGGTAGCAAGCCAAACTTGAGAGCCTGGGCTCATCATTAAAAGAGAGGCCAGTGTGAAGAGACTGCAGATATGAGACCTCCTGGAACAGGCAGAGCCAGAGGCTGAGAAGACAAGAGTTGCCGTGGCAGGGAACTGAGACTGCATGAACAAGCAGTGTCACTCCCTTGTGGTACTGTCACAGTGATGCATGGCAGGATGCATTTGTCTAAACCCATAGGACACAAACATAGCCCACGAGCCCCACAGTCAACTGTGGGAGTCAGAGAGAGGTAGCATAAATTGACAAATGTAAAACCCAGGCAAGATATTAATAATGTGGGTACTTATTATGATGGACTTAGAATGATTTAAAGCACAGTAGTAATACAGTTTTCCCAGAAGCAAAGTGCAAAGGAAAATTGTCTTGGCTACAGGCTGGGACAAGATGCATTGTTCAGACAAGAAAAGGATGCTGTCTTGACACTGAGGGACCAGTGTGTATTAAGATGTGCTGTCCTGGAAAGCAGGGAGCCTGGCCAGGGAGATCCTCAGGATGCTGCTGATGCTGAGAGGGCAGGGTTCAGTGATATCATCTGTGGAGGAAAGAGGGTGGGACAGCAGACTGAAGAGGAAGAGTCCCCATGCCACAGCACACATGTCTTAGCCTCAGCCTCAAAGGGACAGAGGCAAGAAGCAGGACTTGGCAATGGGAACCCCAGGTGCAGTTGGATCTGGCCTGGTGGCTCTGGTCACCTGCTCACCACAGAGTCTCTGCCTGGATGCAGCACATGCAGAGGGGTAGCAGATTCTTCCTGGAGGTGAGCACAGGGCCGTCTGCTAGCTCCATGCAAAGGAGACAGAGGTGGCTGGGGACAGAAACAGAGATGAAGTAATGGAATGAAAGTGAGAAGCCAGAACTCACCAGAAGGCTATGACAGTGGTCAATGGTGAACTGAGTTATACACACACAAACACACACACACACACAGACACACACACACAGAGATGGAGATGAGGGAGAGGGAGAGGGAGGGAGGGGGGAGAGAGAAAGAAGGAGGGGAAGGGGGAGAGGGAGAGAGGGAGAGGGAGAGGGAGGGGGAGGGGGAAGAGAGGGAGAGGGGGAGAGGGAGGGGGAAGGGGAGAGAGAGGGAGGGGAAGAGAGAGGGAGAGGGGGAAGGAGAGGAAGAGGAGGAGGGAGAGGGGGAAGGAGAGGAAGAGGAGGAGGGAGAGGGAGAGGGAGAGGGAGAGGGAGAGAAGGGAGAGGGAGAGGAAGGAGAGGGAGAGGGAGAGGAGAGGAGGGAGAGGGAGAAGAGGGAGAGGGAGAAGAGGGAGAGGGAGAGGAAGGAGAGGGAGAGGAAGGAGAGGGAGAAGGAGAGGGAGAAGGAGAGGGAGAGGAAGAAGAGGAAGAAGAGGGAGAGGGGGAGGGAGAGGGGGAGGGGAGAGGGAGGGGAGAGGGAGGGGAAGGGGGAGGGGAGAGGGAGGGGGAGGGGGAGGGAGAGGGAGAACTCTTCAATGCAGCTCTTCAGTGGTTCTCCATGGTCCATTTGTGGATCGATAGGGTATATTCAAAAGAAACCTTGTGTTTACAATGCTGGGCAGAACTGTATACGGACCACCAGCATGGGGTTGGGGATGGACAGATGATGAGAAACTGCAGAACCTTCACTGAGCAAGAACATATAGTAGAGGGATGCTGGGAATGCCACCCTAAAGACTTATTTTAATTAGAAAGCAAAACACTCTGATACAGTGGAATCCCAGTGTAAACATAGAGATTGAACTCATCACAGCAAGTGCGGGTGATGGGGTAGAGCCCCTCAGCCCACCTGCCCCCTTAAGGATTCACTGATTTGCTGTCACTGCTGAGTTCCAGAGAACAAACTTGTCTTTACGTCTGATAAATTAGTATCCCTTTTAGACAATTTTCATCAGATAGTCATTACAATAACACTTTATCTGTACTCAACCCACTGGTCCAACTAATTAAATGAAAATCTAAGGACACACACACATGCATTATGATATGCGGTCAAATTAATTATCTGTCGGTTTATCAAGGATTAAGCTGGCATCTGTGGAACATGGAAACCTGTCTCCACGAGCAGTGCAATACTGGACATTATCCACGAGGCAAACATTAACGCTCCTCTGTGGGAATGTGGGGAAAAGGGCTTTGGGGTGAAATGCTCTATTGTCCCAAGGTCTGTGCTGTCAGAGTGGAATTCCACCACTTCCTGGCCTTCTCCCCCGAGGACATCCTGGGTGGATTGTTGCAACCCCAGTGGGCAGCTCACTTTGGGGATCTTGGAGTCATTGGGCTGACTTAGAGAATTTGAGACATTAACTCACCAGCTAGGAAGGAGAGAGCCACGCCCTTGGAGTACTGTTGAGTTAATATCCCTCATTTCTCTTGACTTTCACAGCATTCTTAGATGACAGAGGCCACGTTCCTGCAGACCTTCAACCCATTCCACCCAGCCCTGTAGCCAGCTGGCCAATCTGATGGCTTCAGATTTCTTTGCTTATGAATGATGTCATGCCTGCATATTTTCCTAAACCCCTTTAAGATACTGCAGCTAGTAGACTGCACAAGCTCTTCTGAGACTGTCACCCATCACTCTGTGGTGATTTATAGAAAACGTTGCACTTTTCCACAGCCTCCTTGTGGTTTGCCATGTGCCATAGTATTCTGGAGAAGAGGGAAAGATTAAACTAACAGATAATAAATATGTATTTTAGGACGTTTAAATGATCTTGTGCCTTGTCAGTACACTACAGACTCAAGCTCACCAGAGTGCTCATCACCTCACATAGCCTTTTTTACAGTCATTCACCAGCAAAAACCTAATTGGTAGGCTGGAGAGGTGCTTTACAGTTAAAGCAGTGGAGAGCACAGACTTCTCTTCAGAGGACAGAGAGTGGGTCCCAGCACCCACCTAGGGAAGCTCACAACTGACAATAACTCCAACTCCAGGGGGTCCAATGCCCTATGGCTTCTGCAGGCACTCATTCACAAACACACACACACACACAAAACACACATATGGAGATATATAGATGGATATACAGATCATTCATATATATATATATATATGTGTGTGTGTGTGTGTGTGTGTGTGTATGTATGTATATTTATATACATTTATATATATATATATATATATGTGTGTGTGTGTGTGTGTGTGTGTGTGTGTGTTCTGTGTGTATATATATGTATATGTGTGTGTGTGTATATATATACATATATGTATATATATGTGTATATATACATATATATATATCCATTTATAAATCTTTGGTTACAGATATATGGTAACTGTATGGTTGGTTCTGGAGCTTATTAAGAACCCATATGGACCTGCATTGTCCAGACCTCCGTTACACCTAGCTTCTCTGCTCTCCTGAGGACTGTCATCCCACCCTCCTTCCCCATATCTGGCCTCTCGTCTTCACACTCCTGTGAGACACTGTGGGATCTTACATCTTCATCTTCTTCTCCTCTATTTCCTCCTGTTTTTGTTTGTCTGTCTTGATTCTTACAGTGATATTCAAATTACTCCAGAATTTTCTGTGTCTGAAGCCCTGATCATGTAAAGGCCTGGTCCATACTTCTTCCCTCTTGTCTCTTCCCTTTGTGAAGCTCCTAAAACTCTATGTCCTCCCTTCCCAAAGACAAGCCACATTCTGCCAAACCTCTCTTGATTCACAAGCAAACACTTTCATGGCTTTCTCTGCAGTATATGGACTACACTCTCAGGACAGGGTACTCTTCTGTCCATCTTGTTCCCCCAGAAAGCAGATGCCATTCTACAGGTGGGGTGGTACCCTCAAAAATAAATGAAGACTGCTCTTTCTACCTGTGGAAGACAGCAGCAGTTATAAACAATACTGAAATAGTCAAGTTATAGCAGTGTTATATATGTTTTCATGGTGTTTTTTCATGGCTGTTATTTATAGGGACATTTGAATATCTAGACAGTATTTTGTTGTCAAGGAATTTTCCATATCTATAAATTAAGAATTTAAATTAAAATATGGGGCTTGGGAGATGAACTAGTCAAGTACTGTAAAACCATGAAGAGTTTGTATTCACAGCGCTATGTCAAAGCTAAGTGTGTGAGCTGTGATGCCAGCACTGGGGTGTCAGGGACACAGGATCCCTACATGTCACTGGCTACTCAGGCTAGACAGAACAATGACCTTCAAGCTCAGTGAGAGACCCTGACTCCAAAATTAAGATGGAGAGTGATTGAGAAAGATGTCCATCATTAGACTTTGGCTCCCACACGCACAAACATGTATGCATATGCACCTGAGCATGTATACATGTGTACACAGTGCACACATATGTGTATATATAGGCTGGCTCCCAAGTAGACACAACTGAAAAATATCCCAAAAAATGAAAAATGCAAGAGATGTTAAATGGGAAAAACATCTTTCAATTCTTCTCCCTCTCTCCCACAATCCCTCTCTCCAACTCTCCCATGTCCTCTCCCTCTCCTCCACATCCCCCCCCCCCGTGTCCTCTCCCTCTCTCCTTCTCTGTATCTATGAGAGAATACAATTCGTCCTGAGGCCACTGGCTTTCAAAGGTCAGAGTGCCCTGGCTTCATACTTAGAAAAGAATTATTTGCAAGGAGAGCTAATGATGAAGACATTGGGTGTGGATTTATTGCTGCTTGGCTGTGGGTTTTGCTTAACTGCCCTGGACATTTTGAAAATTTATCCATATAGTTCTCTGCATGTTTCTCCTGATGAATATTTACCATTTGGATTAAGTAGCAGCGGACATAGTTCAGCTTTTATATAAATTATGTACATCTGCTAAAATCTGGCAGAAGCTGAGTGAGACATGTTGTTCAGTAACTAAGAGATAGGAGAGTAAGACTGTCAGACAAGTGGAAACATAGTATATTCTTGGTTCCAACATTGTGCTTTGTTTCTGTTTGTCTGTCTGTCTCCTCAGGGACCCTCAGAGTCTGGACCCACCAGAAGTCAGCAACGCAAAGCTTCAGTATGCAGGGTGGGGCCCGAAAGGCCAGCAGCTGGTAAGCAAGATGGGTCTAGCTGCCGTGTTTTGATTTTTACTATTTATGTTTTCTAAACTGTTTATCACGGTACACATCTGACATGTGTGTATGTGTGATATGTGCGTGTGGTATATGTGCATGGTGTGTGTGTGTGTGTGTGTGTGTGTGTGCGTGTGTGTGCTGTATGTATGTGTGTGGTATATGTGTGTGTTGTATGTGTTGTGTGTGTGGTATGTGTGGTGTGTGAAG